CGTAAATGCGGCCATCTTGGACCGAAGCTGCTTGAGCGCCGTAGGCGAGGCCCCTTGGGCCATCATTCCCCAGGAAGCTTGTGGTTTGACCCCCGTGAGGTTGAGCTTGCTGGCTTGGCTGTTGGCTTTCAGGAGCTTCTTGACCCGCTCGGCCCTGGCGAAGGCCTTCTTCAATCTTGCTTTGGCAACCTTCGTAGATCGCCGTCCTTAGGCAAAGTCAAGTCCGAGGTCTCTCGTCTTGGTAGTCAGCTGGATATGGATATCAGCCTTCTGGAGGGCCTTGTGAATCCCTTGGACCAGAGCCTTATTGCTACCGAGGAGCTGGGACTCCCCTGAGAGACGGAGACCTCGGGCTCTCATGTGGTGCACCAAGTCGATGGCGCCCTGGGTGGTGAGCCGATGCACGATGGCCTTGGGACCTCTGGAGGACAGGGAAATATCGTCGACCCAGGTGCTGATGTCCATGGGCCTGTACCGTGCATGTGCCGCGTCGAGCATGTCATGCAAGTCCGCGCGCGTCCAGCTCACACTCTGCATGCGCCCCTGGAGGATGGAGCGCTCGACCGAGATAAAGTCTGAGGCCTCCCGCCCTAGGATGAGGGCCCTATCTGCGGTGTGCACGCACATGCCCATGTACATGGTGTGTAATGGGTAATCGAGTGCTTTACCTAGTGTGTATATCCAGAAAGGGCTGAGCGCGTCGAAAAACTTTTCCGCAGCTAGGAGCAAGACGGCCCAGTCGACCGAGATCCAGCCCGCGGCTTCGGCCTTGGCGTGCCTGAGAAGGGCCGCCTTCAAAGGGTCAGAACCTCGTGCGGCTGCATCGCAGAATCCCGCTTTCTGTTTCTCCCAGGTGGTAGCCGCTTCTTTTCTGAGTCGGGACCAGGTGCGGTACAGTCCTTGAGTCCGAGTAATGGGTCGGTCCCCTTCTCCTGTGGGTTTGGGATGCATGCCGACTTCATTCAAAAGGATCTGCTCTGGCCACGCGCACGTGCGGTCGATGTCCTGCAGAACACCGACTAATTCATCGTGCGCCTCCTCTGGTAGGGCGGCCCAGAGCTTGGGGTTCCACTGGTCGGCCCCCATGCCCATGGCCCTCGGGAAAGCCTGGCGCGCTGCCAAGACCTGTGGGGCTTGAAGTTCAGACAGTTCAGGTACCTGGGCCCGTGCTTCCTGCCGACAAACTTGTCACCAGCTTTGCGTAGAAGGGCGCCCTTGGCCTCCAGGGTCCTTCCAGAGTGTCTGCCACCGGGTCTGCTTGATCTTCAGAGCCTCCGAGGGGTCCCATAGTGGGTCCCCTTCTGTGTCCAGTTCTTGGGCTGGTATGGCCTCTGGGTGGCCCCAGGTAGTGGTATGCCAATGGGCCCACTTGCCCCCCCCCCCCCTCGGAGACTCTGGGAGAGCCACTCCTGGAACCCAGCTTGTTTATCCCGATATACTTCACGATCAGCTCGGTCCCGGATAGCTTTACACTTCTTGGCCAAGTCTTTAATGCCGTTCTGGGGCAGTTGGGGTATCTGCTGGGCCTGCATCTGGATGTCCTGGATGTCTGAGGTGACCTGGATGAGGTCCTCCTGAGATCCCATGGGGACAAGATGCTCCTGGATACTCCCGAGTTTTGCCTGAATGAGCTTCCCAACTTGTTGACGTTTTGCAGTCTTCCCTGGGCTCTCCTTCCCGATACGGAGCCCGTAAAGGTCCTGAAGCCGTGCAACTATACATTTCCAAAAGGCTAGCTTATGCGTGCCTCCGTGTTGTCCGCTTTGTTTGGCTGGTGGCATGGCAGGTCCCATCGTCAGGCCTGGAGAACAGCCGCGGTGGTGCGCGATGTCGCGCACGCCAACGAGCTTGGACTTGTGCAGCTCCTCAGCTGCACCTGAAAAGAGAGCATGCCTGTCGGTAAGAGCTGGATCGGTACAGGGTTCGGCAGTAACATACTCTGCTCGGGGTCGGCTTGGAAGTCGGGCACGAGTTTTCTCCAGGAACACCTCCCAGGCCAGCGTAGGCCCTTGGACGTCCAGGGGCAGCGGTACTGGCTGGGTGAGGACCTGCATCTGCCGTTCCCTGAAAGTTCCTGCCAAGCTGCCGCGAATGCCAAGATGAGGATGGGCCCATGGCCCTTCTAAGTCCTACTCCAAAGTGAGGTCGGGGACGAGGTGGGAGGAGACCAGTCCGAAGTCGATCACCCGCTTGCCGAACTCCTGAGAAGCCCCTCCTGGAAACACAAACCTGGCGTCAAGGTAGTCCTCGATCCCAGACTCCCGAATCTCCGATACTTCCATATTCCAGTCGGCTAGAAGGATGAAAGGAACCCCAGTTGGATTTTGCTAACCATCTCCTCTAGCACCTGCATGTTATCCCCCGAGAGGCCCTCCCCGCAAGCGAAGTAGGCGGAGAGGAACATGAGCGAGTGGCCGTGCAGGCGGACCTCACGCGCAGCCCACATGCCTTGCCCAGCAGCTGGCTGGGACCACCCCGCTCGTCGCAGTCGGATGGCCCTGGAGCTCAGGTGTGCGCCGACAGCAACCCATGTACCTCCACGGCCGAGGTCTCCTTGCACCTGGGTCTCGTTGGCGGGCCTGGCCTCGACCTTCCAGTGCGCCTTGCTGAGCTTCTTGATAGCTGCATGCAGAGGTGGCCCTCGTAGGTGAGTCTCTGCGCCCAGTTGGACGTGGTACCCTTCGTCATCGCGGATCTTATTCACATTCTCGAGGCCAGCCTGGTTCCACGTGGTGTAGTTGGCCAAGTAGAAGCGCACCGCTTGAAGGTCATGTTTGTGATACCGCTTCATCCTGTCCCGACTGGCTTCCACTTGCTCCTGGGGTGCCTGAGCGTAGGGCTTCACCTCCAGGGCCTCTGCTTGGCACACTGCCTTGTCCGTGTCGTTGTGTGGAGCGTCAGGCTCTGGGTCACCGTCGTAGCCAGCTGTCGCGAAAGCGTCGGCGCCCTGCTCCAGCTGATCGAAAGGGTCCCAATCCCCGCCCAGACTGGTTCTTCGATTGCCGTTATCCGTGTTCGGCTCGGCGCCCTCTTGCTTCTCGCTGTCCGTGTCCACTCGCCCACGCTGAGTGTTATCGGCTGCCGTAGAAAAAAGGGGTACGTGCGCCGTCCCTGCCTGAGCCATCACTCTCGGCCAGCCTCGAAGGTGCAAGGCCGAAGCCCAGAGCATTAAAGTCCCCTGCCGACGAGGTTCTGGCGAACATGGCTGGCTCAGGCAGGTCGGCATGGGCCCCCGCTAGCGCGGGGCATCCTCTGGGCGAAGTAGACGATGGCGCCGCCGATGGAGAGAGAGTCCACCCCTGCGTTGACTCTGCCGATGACCCAGTCGGCGAGGCTGTCACAGTAGACGGGGTTGCTGTGGAGGCAGTCGGCAAGGAAAATCCACTTGTTGTCGCCATCTGCGTCTCTCGTGTCTCCAGCCCAGGGGAATGCGCGTCCCTGGCCATCTGGAGATAGGTAGATGTGGCTGCCCCCCATCGTCGCCGCCGCTTGGCTGCTGTAGGTTGTCGTAGTTGTGGTGCTTCATTCCCCTTCTGAATGTAGCTGATCTTCAGGTTCTCGTAGCTGCGCCAGATCATGTGGTCGGTAGTGTCGATCCCCTGGACACTGCACATCATCAGCATCAGCTTGGAAGTAGTGGTACGTAGGGCGTCCTGCGAAGCGCACTCGAGCCGCACCCTGCGGCCCTGGGTTACCCCCGCGTCTGGCTGGCGTCCCCTTTGCTCGCACCCTTGCCCACAAGCAGCGCGGCCGCTCGCTCCTTGGCAGTCTGGGCGGGCTGCTGTGAGGCGCCCACCTCACTGCCTGGGGCTGTGCTGCCAGGTGCTGCGCCTCCAGCGCTGGCTGCGCCAGCCGGGGCAGGCTCCGCTGTAGCGCCACCACCATTGTCCCCAGGAGGAGGAGCAGACTCCGCCCTAGGCCGTTTGGTCTTGAGGCGCCTCTTCTGCTCCTCGTGGGCTCTGCGTGTGGCGTCGCACTTTTCTTTGGCCGATTTGAATAGCTCAGCAGCGGCGGCCTGCATGGCGGTCTTGAGTTCCTCTTTGCGCTTCGCGATCTCGGCCTCATCCTCGGTGCCCAGCTCGTATTCCTCGCCAAGGTCGAACATGTCCCCGCAGTCGATGAGGTCGTCGGCACTGAGCTTGCCTTCGAGCAGGGACTGCAAGTCGAGCTTGGAGGGATTGGCTTCCTTGGGGCCGAGCTTTGTGTGGTACTCTTCCTCCAAGACAGCCTTGTACTCAAGCTCCGCGGCCTCGAGGTCGCCCACCAGCTTCCGAACGTGCTCAGCTTGATCAGTAGTATGCTGCTGCAGCTTGGCCAGGAGGTCTGTGGCGTGCGAGAGCTTCTTCTCCGTCGCCGACGCCTTGCGCTGGGCGGCTGCGGCACGCTGGTGGACGGGGCGAACCACGCTCGCCTTGGCCAGCTCCGCGGCGTACTTGTTCGCTGTGGCTGTGTCGCCCATCTGGGTGGCCACGTCCACCAGCTTTTGAACGTCGGCTGTCGAGACCTGCGCCGCTGCGGTGGCTGCGCCCCGCCCGCGGCTGGCCGAGCGGGTCCACCTGTTGGTGCTGCGCCCAGCTCCTGCGTCACTGGCCCACGGAGCTGGTGCTGGTTCTTCGGTGCGTCCCTTGCGGCAGTGCTTGCACCAGGTCCAGTGACTGAGGTTCTGCCCGCATCCACAGAGGCTGCACTTCCACCGATCGCCAGGGCGCCCATGGGACATGTGCCGCGGACAACTGAACTAGAAAAGACTGCAGAGGGTCGAGAGGCGCGCTCCCCCGAGCGCTCAGAACCTGGGCCGCGGCAGCCAGGCCTATGGAAGGGGCTGCCCTTCCACCGCGACCTCGAGCCTCTGGAGTCGGGACCCACGGGAGGTTAGCTCCGTGGGACTTGAGCCAAAATGGCTACGGCTCATCCTCTTCCTCCTCCTCCTCCTCCTCCTCCTCCTCCTCCTACCCCTCCTCTCCTCCTTCCCTTTCCCCTCGAGACTGCCCTGCGCCGAG